TAGAATCAGCTGCCGATGCTCAATATTCCTCCAAATAATTTCCAGAACAAATATTGTTTCAGCTAAATCAATAGGTGTGTTACAGCGCCTTATATTTTCAAAAAAAGTTCTGTTATTTAATTAATTAGAAATCAGAAAGTGAAAAATCAATCTTTTGTGTTTAATCCTAAAATCAATTTTAAGAGAAAATTATATGTCATATTAATTCTGGATTTTCTTTTCATTATGTGATGTTTATATTATGGCCTACAGAGGCATGGGAAAAACTGATTTAGTGAGACAATGAGGTAGTTCAAGTACATTACTGGACGGAGAAAGTCAGGTAAATAAAAAGTTAACTAATAAACGGTTGCAAAGCTAAGCCCTGTCAAAAGTTTGGTGCAGAATCCAAAGGCATTTACTACAGCTATGATGATTAAGAAAGAGGTATCTCCATACAGCAGAGTTTGCCTTGTTAGTTTAATGCAATTCCTCAACCAGCTCTAAAACCAAAGGCATTTCACCTCATATAAAGAGAAAACTGAACTATTTCTCAGTGGCCTCTAAGTTTATTTCATATGGAAGTTAATTTTGCACTTAATTTGTATATCAACGTTTCCATAGGTAAATTGAAATATTAAGTATTTTATCCATCTGAGCTTCCTTTACACTTCAGGAATGCCAACAGCTGATTGCCTCCATGCTACATAATACAGTATTCATGCAGGTATTAATGAGAATGGATATAAATTAGAATAATTAACAAGGAAGCAGCATACATGCAGTCCAGTACACACTCATACATATCAATCTATAGATATGTACACATAAATAAATACTTTCCGAGCAAGGCAAGCATTTTCTTGTACCAATCCCTTTTTGATCTCATTGAGGAAAAAACCCTAAGTGTATTTTGTTTTATTCTTTTTAATCAATATATGAATGCTTCTCATTTTAAATGAACAACTAACTGTTCTATCTGACAAACATATTTATTTTATTTATATGAGTGACTTAAAGCAACTGAACTTATGACCATCATCTAAGTCTATCCAGGAACATGAACATAGTTCTAAATATATGTTAAATCCCCACACGACTCAGTGAATTTTAATAAAAGCTGACCTTGATACATGCAGGCTCTGAGAGGAGCAGAATCCAAAAAGGAGCAAAGTTGCCAAAGGGAACGTCTCAAAATTCAGGTCTCGATTAATTGTTAACCTCCTACTTGCAAGTGGACAAGGATGTTCCTCAGCTCAGACGGCTCTTGGAGAACTGATTTTAGATGGGCTAAGTACACAATAAGTTGCCAAAAGACAATTTATTTATTTATTTTTTATCTGTAAAGAAGAAGCAACTGCAGAAACCAATGGAGGTAAACAAAAGGCTGATTTTCCAAATCATCCTGGTCTTATGTTTAATATTATTTAGTATAGATTGTTTTCATTAAATTTGACCAACTGCAAACCCTACCTCCCGTTGTCCCACACCACCCTTTCAGATTCAACAGGCACAAAAACAAAACAAACAAAACAAAAAAATAATGCTTGACTAATGAAGGTTTGTTCAAGGTACAATATCATTTTTATTGTTTAATCATCCTCTGCTTGTGTGCTTGCCCCATATTACATGTGCAAAGTGCATGTTTTATTGCTTTTTAATATTCATATTGTTAAGGGTAAAAAGAACAATCATAATTATGATGCTATTTTCCTTTAATCAGTCTTTTTTATCACCCACCAGTTGTCTAAATAAACAGCAGCTGTGTTTCAAATAAAAGCAGGACATATTAATGAATAAACAGAATTTTAAATTGATGTTTACCTGAGAGATAACTGACTGAAAAAGCTGATCAAGTTCACCAGAAATACGTAGTTAATTAAATTCAATTAGAGAATACTCAGGATTTTACCTGATGTTCAAAAGGTACAAAGGTTTTATTGGTTCTGGTAAACTTAATTCACCTAAAATGGATCCTGAATCTTGCACTGGATCTGGAGATTAGGGTAAATAATTAAATGATGTTAAAAAATCACCAATAAGGCAAGCCATGCCTTCTGATCACTGCTGGGATCTGATTTAAAAGCCATAAAAATTGATTTTTAAATGACTCCGCTCTCACATTTATCAAAGCTGTAAATGTGGGAAAATAAATCAAATAGTGCTCGTGTGTAATAGCTAAGTGAGCTTAATAAAACTGGTCTAGTCGAGGTCACATCGAACTCCTGTATGAGCATCTCCTGTCTTTGATGTAACTGATTTTTTGGTGAAAGCAACTCAAACTACTGAATATTGTGAAGTGGGAGAGAAAAAAAGACTTCCACATCATAGTGGAATACATTTTTATTTAAACTGCTTAAGAAATAAAAATCTGAAAAGTGTGCCTTGTATTTGTATTAAAGCCCCTCTCTGTCCATTATTTCTAGAGACACGTTTTTCTTTAAAAGCCAGGCTGACTGCTTCTAAAATCTATTTCAATTTTTCTTAGAAAAACCATTTAAGTCAGCTAAGTAAGTTTGAATGAAGAGATTAGTTATGAAATCTTACAAAAGATTCTCAATCTGATTTCGATTTGGACTTTAACTGGGTCACATCACCATATGAATATGGATTGATCTGTATCATTCCAGTGAGGGTGTAACTCAACCTGCATTCCAGTCTTAATTCTTCTGCAGCCAAATCTTCCTTAAATCATGATGATTCTACCACCTTGATATATGATAATAGATGATGCAGCATTTTTATGTCTACCAGGGATTTTTGACCACAGGTGATTCCATCTGAGCTATGGATCTTTCCTGCTCCTTCACAGTTCCACAGCTACCATTGGCATTACTGTATAACTGCCTTTTTCCTTATTTCCTGGCTTTTAAATGTAAAGCCAAAGATGGACAGGTTTGCATTGGTACGCATATGTCTGCTTCTTTTTTTAAGGGTGCACTTAACACAGATCTGTAGGATTTTATTTTTATATGGTAAACTTGCTTCACTTCAAACCTTTTCCAATTGTTACACCTGACCATTTGCTCTGTTCATGATCTTGTTTGTTCATCAACGGTCTCAAAGGAACCTTTTCGCTATTCCCAATTAGGAAACTTTGATGTTATTTTGGGGTTTTAGAGTGAAGCTATCTTAATCATGAATAGGTCTAGACAAGGGCCAAAAGGGGACGGGGTCCCTGCAGAACTGGTCTTGGTCACGGGACTGAAGACAAGATGCTAAATCGGTTTTTAATGAATTCTTATGTATTTGTTTTTATTTTTACTGCTTTACTTTAAAAAATAAAATAAAAATATAAGTGTTGCCCTTTCAGCTCCAGGCATGTTGATTTGGAACCTCAGTGGCTCAAACATTGACCTGCAACTCCAGAGCACCAGTAGTTATTTTGTTCTTTGCAAAAGGAAGAAACAAACCAGATAAGGACCTGCAACAGGTTATTGTCCTGTTGCAGATCCATAACCTGGGACCAATCTTTCTGACACTGGGCAGCACATTTCTCTCTAGAATCCCTTGATAGTCTTGAGATTTGACTGGATCCAGCAGATATTTAAAATCCCCTGTGCCAGATGGAGCAAAGCAGCTTTAGAACATAACAGAGCCTCCTCCATGTTTTTTCAGTAGGGAGAGTGTTCCTTTCTTGATATGCTTCCTTTTTTCACTTATGAAGATACAGTAGAGCTTATGAGGCACTGTAAAAGCTTTTCATTTTTGTCTCATCTGATCATAGGACATTCCCCCAAAAGTCTACAGGGCCTTGCTTGTCAACATTTAGTCTGGAAAATACCAATCTGGGTTTTTATGATTAATTTTTAACAATATAGCATCAATGGTAATTTGCCATTAAAGTTTAATCTCTATAACTTTTAAAACCATGCACAGTCTTCTTTCTGCTTTCCAATTATTGACTTCTATTCTGTCCTCGAAATACGAATCTTTGTACAGCTAGACAGATAGTTAACAACACTAAAGATTCCAGAAGTTATGCTGAGGATTCAAGTATTTTTTTGCTCTCTTTTCTTCCACAGTTTTCTTTCTTTCTATCTATCGAATCTGTAAGAAGACAAAGATCCGTCCATGTTCTGTATGAAACGGACTTTAATGTGCTTTCTGTTCAGATCGGTCCGACTACGAACTACGACTTAACATAGAAAAAGACGGAACAAACTGCACTAATGGACAAAGGTGTTTCTCAAACGTTAACTATAATGATGGGCAATTACTTACAGACAAAGATTTGGTCATGCTCTGTATTAAACTTGACTTTTGTACGGTTTCATCTCAAATCAGTCCGTCCCTTAAATAGGTGCAACTAGGAACTACAACCCAACCTAATAGGGCGGAACAATTTCTGTGTTGGTATCACATAAAATCCACCCAAAAAATGCATTCGATTAAGGAGATGTCCGACACAAAAATAAGTAAAAGGTTTAGTGGTATGAACACTTTAAATGTCTGTTTTGAGCATAATACATAACTCGTTTTAGAATAATAGTGGCTGATTTGAGGTATTTATTTTCTATCTTCACATAATTAACTGGATTCTTATTGGATAATTAATTTTGTTAGAAGCTTCTATGACTCTGAATGTGTGTAGACAGATGTCTTTCCACGCAAAATACTTGAAGACTATTTCAGTTCACTAATACAATGGCTAGCAGCCTCAGTCAAGTGCATAATTAGCTGAATTAGATTAAATGACCAATTAAGAGACTAACAAAGTAAATAAGCCTAAGGGGATTCCAGTGAATGCGGGAGAATGGAATTAAAGTGGAATTAGATTATTGACAGGGAGAATGACAGCATGGTCGGACTAAACAGTTCTATTTCTGTCACAAATGTAGAGGTCGTGGAAGAAAATGTGAAAGCATTGGGTTTCAATGTGCAAAAACTGTAACATATCAAATAATGAACTCATACCAGCATGGTTCTGTTTCTGCACAGAAACAAATACTTTACTAGCCCATAAATACTTGCATTACTTTTTGAACCTCAACAAAGCTCAGATAAAAAGAAAACCATACCTTTGCTTGCACTTTCCACGTGCTCCAGTTCATCAGGAAACCCCAAAATCTCCGGGTGATTCTCTTCGCACTTCTCAGCCAGAAAATGGAGAAGTGTTGTGTTGTGGCTGATGGATTTAGTGTCTCTTAGCTGAAAAAAGAGAAGAAAACATAGATTTATTGACAGTTTTTGTGTTTAAACATTTTAATAATTTAAAGCTTAATATTGCCCTTAATATTATTTTTTTCCTGAAAACATTATTAGCAATGAATAAGTTGAAATGTATCTACACCATAAACACAAAAACTGATTTAATACATTTTTTAAGTTAGGCTTAAGGATTTCAGATTGGTGAAACGTCCTCAGGATTATAATTGAGTCCTGCCCGAATAAACTCCACTAAAGCTCATTCATTCTGTTAACTTCAACTGTTAGCATCCAGTGGAGACAGAGTGAGAAAATCCTGCAAAGGAATATTTGAAGACTTTAAATATTTCAGACTTCACAGCATTAATGCTCAGATGGACAAATAAAAAAGGAATTATCACCAGTTGACTGTGTGTGCTTATTTCCTCTTTGGGACACATTTTGTGCCAGTTTTATTTGAAAAATGTTAATGTTATAAACTTTCTCTGACACTGATGTAAGAATAGCTCTCCCTTTCAGAGTGACTGCTGTAAAATAGTAATCCCTGTCTAGGTAAACTACATTTATGTAGGTCATAAAAATGAAATGCTTCACACTAAACACATAAGAGAAAATGAGTATCCAAAAAACAGATTTAAAAGGACAGTTCTCCTTTTAAGTTGCCTTTGGAGGAGCTTGTTAAAACCCTAACTAGAGTTTTCGCCCTTCTTTACTTCTTTACTCGTCCTACTGCAGACCTAAGAAAACAGTAAGTCTGACTGGGCTGGTGTAGAAAGTAAGGTAAATTTACTAAAATATAACTTATCACAGATAAAATCCATAAAGTTCAACATAAAGACAATGGAAATATAAAAGATTAAAGGTAATACTGTTAAAATAACATGTTTAAAATCAACTCTCTGACCCAGAGTCACCATGTGAACAAAAGAAGGTATTTTGTTTTAGTAGACAAAGTTTCCTGCTGAGTTTTTTTTTTTTTTGGAAACACCTCACGTAAATCAGGTTTTGGTAACCAAGTGTGAAATAGCTAGGGTAAAATAAAAGTTTGATGAACAGTGAGTTCTGGGTTGCAGAGCCATAATGCACTTATAGAGTTAAAATACATCATGTATATGGATGTTCTTTGCACCCATCCATCTCTCTGTCTGTCAATAGGTTCAAAAGTTATGATCTAAGCACTTCTTAAGTAGTAAAAGTAAACATTTCATTTCAATACACACTATTAAAATGACTTTTTAAACTGTCACACAGTGTCTAGTGTCAACAAAGGTACAAAGATGGAGACAAACTAAAATTTATCATAATTTTGTTAATTATTTTTTTATTGCCAGGATTCTCTTAACGATCTAAAAAAAAATATATGCTATGGTTAGAAGCCTAATTGGAACATTAAACTGTTAAGCAATGATTTTAGCTACTATTTTGTGACAAATTTGTGATAATCTGAAATAAAAGCAAATAATAAGCACATTTTTTTCAAAGATCAATTAGCTAAATAAGTTTCCTGTATCTTTGGGGTTTAAAAAAAACAAAAAACAATTTGATTCTGAAAAAGGTTAGTTATCCATTTCAGTAAAATGTCCACAACAAAGCCAATATTACAATGTGACACATTTCACGACAACTGTACAAATGCTAATTAATATAGTAAGGAGGTTATAAGGGACTAATACCAGAAGTGGGATTTTGCTTTTCTTAAAAAGGCCACTACCCGAGCAATCACAACGATTATTTGTGTAATTTCTGAGGTTTACAATAAAAAATAAATAAAAATATCACAAAAGAAAACACTCTGCACTACTTTCTAACATCTCACACCCCTGAGAAGCTAAAAAGTCCACCACTGTATCAGCGCCATACCTGTGAGTGTGATTCTTCACATGCAGAAAACTTGTTTCAAATTCACTCCCCACCGTGACTGCAATGCAGTTCGAATGGCATGCTGGGAAAGCTAATTAGCACAACACTGCTCTGTGGGCTTGGGCTGATAATATCTGAGCAGTAAACAAGAGGCAGTTGAAAATGCCCACGTATAAGCATGCAGATACACGCGCAGATTCGCTAATTGGAACACATTTAGGTAATACTGAAACAATTACCGGCTACAGTATATTGTAATAGTAAAAAGATCTGACAATTTGTCCTAACTGCCATCACATATTAAGAGACATTATGAGTTATATTTCATGAAAATAAGTTCATCTTCCAACAACTCTCATTTCTGTGGAGAACAATGCATATCTCCCACACTGATTTCATCTCATAACTATCAGAAACAATTTGATTTATAAACATCCACAAACAGAATGCTTAGTGAGACAGCAGTGGAGGGGATCAACAGGTTCTAGCATATTGCCCCAAGCTTCACTGACTAAATGTGAATATCTGCACTCATGCAGAGCAGGAGAATGGGGATGCTGGGGTTTCATTAAGAGCACTGGGTGTACCTAGAAACCCAGTCGTTTCAGGTAATATGGCTGAATTAGAATTACTAGGTGAGACCCGAGAAATAGAGTCATTACTCAGAACAATTGATCTCTCTTATTTTTCCTGGCATCTATGCTACATTAAAAACGTATAAATTAATCTTATACAAATATAAATGAGGGTTTGATGCTTCAAAATCAAGTAAAGGATGGGGAATTCGTATGTTGAAAGAAAATTAAGATGATTTTATAGTTTAGATCATTATTAAATTCATAACATTAAATTCCATTTTTTAGTGGGAGCAATATCAAGTTTGATGTATATTATGTAGGTTTTAAAGGCCTCTAAAAGAGAAGGAATCAGTAAACAGCTAGAAATTCTTGTGTTTGTTCCAAACCTAAACTACCCTGAAATAAATGTCCATACGGGTTTGGTTCTTGACTAGGACACTAATACCTGAATATGATTCAATGTAATCCAATTCACTGTAACTCCGTGTTTATGTTTAGGATTGTTGTCCTTCAGGGAGCTTTCCTGCCACCCTAGTTTTAGTTTGATCTCTGCTTAATGTAAAATCAAATAAAGTGAAGCTCTAACCAGGAAATTAGCCTTATGTGATAATATTTCCTAAAACCATGCTCATAATGGTTTAAGTGTGTAATAAAAAAGTGCAGTCTCCACCTCACAATGTGTTCATATGTGGGGTAAAAAGAATATATTTTTTTATCTACCCAAAGCATCTTTTCCCAACGTTCTGCAAATACTTAAACTATGGACGTTCCCCTCTAACTCTATGATTTATGTATTACTTTGTACAGGTCATCTATGTAACATTCTATAAAATACCCTTAAACCTATTACTGTATTGAATGAATAAATGAAAGAATATCACTAATAATCGGAATAGCAACATCAGAACAATAAATAAGCTTATCTGCAACAACTTTCTGAAAAGGAATCAAAGCTACATTATATAAATATGGTGCAAACATACTCTATATTTCAATGATATATTTAGTAAAACTTGTTGATTAACAGAGCAAAAAAATAAATACATTGAAAAGTAAATAGATGATAAGGCGTTTAGGTATTTGAAAATTAAGCTAAAAAAACTAAGCTTTTTGCTGACACATTGGACGACACATACAAATAATATGCTTTCATTTTTTTCTTACAGGAACTGGAATAGACTTCTCATTATTGGCGACATGGTAACTAAAAAAACAAGTAAAAACACAGAAATACTTGTTTTAATCGTTTATCACAAATTGTTTAATTATTATGAAATTAACAATATTACTGCATGAAGCCCATTTTCCTCAGGCCACACAACTAAGAATGTGACAGAATTATAAAAAGTCAGAGCAGTATGAATACTTTATGAGGACACTTTAGGAGTATGTACATGCACATCAAACAAACCATGGTGTCTTCATACTAATTGAAGGCTCCTAACTCAGCTTGTATACATATGCACTGAATGCAACTGGTTGCAATGGATTTTATTTAGGAGCGTGAGAGAGAATTGATATTAGTACAGATAAATACTAAATTGAATGATTTTTAGTTGCAATTAATGTTGTAAACTTATGCTGCGTTCACACCGGACGCAGCAGGAGCAGCAAAATCGCTTCTGTTGCTTGCTTTTTGCTGCTTGTACCTGTTTAATTCGTGCGCGGCTGAAGCAGCTTTGCTGCTCTGGCTGTGCGGTGCAAAAGTGTGTCTGACGCACGTTGGGCGGAGCTACTCTATCCTTTCTTTGCCTTGCAGCTATATTTGCTGTGATTAGTGGGAATAAAGTAGTTTTAATATGTTTTTAAGTGAGAAAATCCACCTGAAAACTTAATCAGTGCAGTCAGTTCATCCAGATTACAATCCTGCCTTCTAATATTATTTCTGTCGGAGCCGCTCAGACCCCCATATACCGGCTGTGCGCTGTCAGTAGGAATCCCGTTCAACAGCAGCCTCTGGCCGGGTCGCCTCCTCGCGGTTCGCAGTGGCAGCTGGAAGGTGGTTTTTATGTACGTAATCCAAACTGCAGGCACCAGGATAATAAAAGCGAACATATTCTGCCGGCAGGTTTCAGCATTTTAAGTTATTTTAGGCATTAATAAACTGTTTCAGATGAGTGATCACAGCGCTCTGCATCATCAGCGATGTGTCTCCCTGCCAGCTCCCAGATCAGCTTCTCTTATTGGTTGAGCGTCGAGCAGCAAAAGTTACATTTTTTCATCTCGAGCATCAGCGCGTTTGCGGCGCGTCACACGTGTCAGATGCTTAAACGCTCCCGATGCGCTACTTCAGTTGCTAAGAGGCGCTGCGCCTGCTGCTCAAAACGCGCTGCGGGACCTTTTGCTGCGCCTTGACGCATGTCAACCATTGACTTTGCATGTAAACTCGCTGCTTCTGCTGCGCCTGCTGCACCTGCTGCGTCCGGTGTGAACGTAGCATAAGCGTCTGCCTCAGCACTGCAAACAATGAAATGTCAATAAGTCATTTTTTTCGTTATAATAAGTGCATTTTTTCTTGAAATGAGGAGGTAAGTGAGACACTATCCCAATGGAAGAAGATAATTAAATTTTTCTGATTATCTTATTTCAAGAGTAAAAGTACTCATTCCATTGGCAAATCATCTTATTTACATGCTCAAATTAAAGGTAAATACACTAAATTTAAGAAATGTTTCACTTATTTCTAGATTATTTTTTACAATGTAAGCCACATTGATATATAATATCAAATTCAAATAGCATACAATAGAGTCAGCAGTTGTAATGACAAAGCAAATATGAAAAGTTTTAGTGGCATGAATAGTTTTGCATGTTAAATGCCATGGCTTTTTCTAAGGTGAGGATCTAGCCAAAGGTTATGTGTTGTAAGCAAATGTTGTATAGCTACAATGCTGCAGTTGCAACATGTTTCCATTTAAGACCCTTTCTTGTGCTTTTTTTTAAATTATATTATTAAGTCAGAGATCCTAACCACCAGCAAGCATCATTTACTAACCTCATCCCCAGTAACTTACAATTTATCTTTGAAATACATTTTTTTTTCATTCTTCCAGAAGATCAATAGAAAACGAGGGCTATAGCTTGTCAAATCTCATCATATTTTAATGGGAGAGTAGAGAGATTGCATAAAAAAATCCAATTTCTAATAAATATTTTTAATGGACTCAACAGAAAAAAAACAATACCCAACGGTGGTGTTTTTTTTTTGTTTTGTTTTTTCTTTTTAGCAACAAATTGTAACAGGGATATAATACAATTCTTCTCAGTATAAACAGCCCTGAGGTAAAATTATTCCATATTCCTCACTTGTAAATGCAACACATCTACTTGTAAGATCAGCTAGAAAGCTAAGCTATATTACAAGAAAACAATCTTGTCATTAACATATTTATCTCTAAGAAATATAAAGAAAAACAGATAAAGCCACAATTAATTAAAGACAAAGATATGATAAGAATGGAAAATCCTCCTATTAGCAGGATTCAATTTAACTCTTGATCCCAAAGCAGATAAAATATTTTAATTGCTTCTTATTTAGTCATACATTAGACTGAAAAAAGTAAAATCTATATAAGTGCAGTGTTTGCATAAAATTACAAATATTGCCTCATCAGTTCTAGAGCATATGTTACATCATGTGAGAACACATACATGTTCTTTAATTATAAAGTGTACAGCAAGACCAGTAATTATAGCAGTTATTAACTGTAAACCTAACATAAGTATGTACAGTTGCCTGCATGTTACCCACGTAAATACTTAATACATCACTTTTGCTGAACTGAAACTGAACATAATTTTTTCTAAATGTAGTATCAATAATTTAACAGAGGTGATAAAGGAGTTCTAATTAACAAAAAAAAATGGACATGGCCGTTGACTTCCTAAGATCTTTGATACAGTTCCTAATTTTCATTCAATGGTATTTTTACACAAATATATTCAGTGGGATATCAAATTAAGATCAATTTCCTAACTGAAATGAATATCTTACCAAAAATGATTATGTTTAATCTCTGGTTTTGGGACATACCTGTGCATAAATGATTTTATAATAACTAGGTTAAATGTCTGTATACCTCTTTGTTCAATTAGACGCTGCTCTATCCGTATCCTAGCACTACTGAGGCATTTTCAACAGTCAGAATGTCTCACATAGAGGATTTTCGCTTTAGTGCAAGTGTTTTTTAGCGACTGGAAGAGCTTCATTCCAGACATGATTCCGTGGGCATTCTTCCATGCCCATGAGCCCAGAGAGCTTATGAGAACAGGCTGGCTTTCAGGAAACTTTCCATTCCACACAAAACGAGAATTAAAGCATGGGGCTAAACAGTGAAGCAGAAGGTGGATCAGAAGGGGCCCTTTCCCTCTGCATATTCCCATCATCAAGCTCCACGCTGATGAGTGCATTAGGTACCCTAGATCCGACACCCAGGGGGGGCATTTACTTGATTGACTAAAGTGAGAAAGCATACTTTTTCATTCTTGTCCATCAATAATGGCCCAATCAGCCCCCTGAGGCGTTTACCAGTTCTAAACTAAACACTGATTCACTCACCTCGCAAGAACACTACACTTTCTTCATCACAGAAAACCCTATCCTACATCATACACAAAGGCTTTAGAGCTAAAATGGAGAGAGGTAGTCTTTAAAACCCACCTATTGCTCTGTGATCTTTTTTTTTTTCCCTCTTTATGTATAGCAGCTGAAGTTTTTCCTTTATGTCATATCCAAATAGCCATCCAGTTCAAAATGAATGGTAAAACTAATCAGCTCCCATAATCTTGGAAACCAAACACATCTACTCCAAGATGCTAGAGGGGAAATGAGGCAGCCTTGGTGGAGAACAAGAGCTGAGTTGGTTTTGAGGAAAAAAACAGACACTAATGCATTCTGTAGACAGAATCTAGCATAATTAAAAGTAAGAGGCATATACAGGTCAAGCTATGTTTAACAGTATCCATCCATCCATCCATATATATATATATCCGGGGCCGGGTCGCAAACACAGCAGTCTAAGCAAAGATGCCCAAACTTCCTGATCCATGCACACTTCCTCCAGCTGCTCTGTGGGGACCCCGAGGCAACACCAGGCCAGCTCAGAGACATAGTCCCTCCAGCGTGTCTTGGGCCTTCCATGAGGCCTCCTCCCAATGGGACATGCCTGGAACACCTCCCGAGGGAGGCGACCAGGAGGCATCCGGAACAGATGCCCGAGCCACCTCAGCTGGCTCATTTCGCCGTGGAGGAGCAACGACTTTACTCCGAGCTCCACCCAGGTAACTGAGCTCCTCACCCGATCTTGAAGGGTGCGCCCAGCCACCCTGCAAAGGAAACCTATTTCGGCGGCTTGTATTTGCGACCTTGTTCGGTCATTACCCAGATCTCATGACCATAGGTGAGGGCAGGGAGGTAGATCGATCGGTAAATCGAGAGCTTTGCCCCTCTACTCAGCTCCCTCTTCACCACGACAGTCCGATACAGCGACCGCATCACTGCCAACACGGCACCGATCCGTCTATCAATCTCACGCTCCATCCGTCCATCACTCGCGAACAAAACCCAGAGAGTAGCCAGTTTAAATTGAACATTACTCACAGGTCCCTTAAAGAGCAAAAAATAAAACTGCTGTCAGTGAGTGCAAATGTAAGGGTGGCTTTTAAACCTCTGATATCCATCAACCTGCGCTCACAAAATCAGTCTGAAGAATCCATGCCAGTTCTATGCCCAAGTAGCTCTTGAATTCTTCCCATTTATATTACTACTCGCTTAACAAACTACTAAAGCTACTAATTCGGACCCCTTTCTGTGTTTTGTGAGTGCCTTACCTTGCAGAGGAAGCTGACGTTGAAACCAAACGTCTGCGCGTTCCTTGAGCCAGCATTCATGTAGTTGCCAACCAGCAACACGAACTCCAGGAGTTTGCTGAAGCCTTCGCTCTTCTTCACTTCTTCACAGGCGAATGTCACATTCATGATATCTGGCCTAATGTTGTTCACCTGCTCCTCGAACGTCAGCTTGAAAAGAATCCCGTTGAGACGTGACCGCAGCAGCTTTACTGAACTCATCTGTAAAGTTAGACAGAAATAGCGAAGGAAATTTTGTCTTTGTAAGAAAAAAATACCCAAGGATGTCTACAAAACGTAACAGATTATGACACATCGTTCCTTTGTGGGGTGAAACAAAAACCCATTGCATCACTTTTTGTGGTACATGCAAAAACCTAAATATACATACAGTACAACAATACAAAGTAGCATATAAAATAATCTTTGGTTTGTCTTTCAGAGGTCCAAAGCTCTGATGCAAAATAAGTGGTCACATAGAAAATGTACATATTTGACCTTAATGCCAAACACTAAAGGCCTGACCTTAAAATAATCCAAATAAGGAGCACTCAATTGCAAAGCAATTAAAAAAAATCGGTGCAGCAGGTAAGCTTGATGAGGAGGATCTACAAAAATGAGATGTCCAACTAGCAAAATGTGCAAACCAATGTAATTCTGGCCAATTAAAATTGATTGATAGATTGATTGACTGATTAATTGATTTTTGAATGACTGCAATTTCATAGTTACATCAGCTAAAATAGTCAAAGAAGAAAAATGTGCCAAAGCAAGGAAAAGGAGCATGGATATAAACACTATACCCATTCTCCTTTTTCTTTCTTTTAAAAAAAAAATATTTTTAAATAGTAGGATCATTATACAAGATACTGCCCTGGTTGTTTACATGGGTATTTATATAGATGGATATTTATATTTATATATATAGTCATGCACTGTGTGTCAAATATAGAGAAACAGGTTACTGCACAGGGTATCAAGTAGTAAATTGCATATTATATATTGCACAAGTTATTGCTGTTGTATTGTTGCATTGTAGAGTCTGGCTGCAGCAGGGATGAATGACTTGCAGTAGCGATCATTTTTACAAACAGGGTGTAAAATGAACAAATCGTGTGAAACTGACTTTTTTAGATTGATTGTTAAAGACAGATGAAGTTTTAAGCCATTGAGACGGTTTGAGATACCCAGTTGACATAGCTATCTGAAAAACTGATGTTTACTTTTCTATTTATTAATGCGATCAACAATCTCTGGACTACAAATTAACGAGAACAAAGTATTCCTTATGTAGATATCCCTTCTTACTATCTACTGTCTATAAAATTAGACTATTTAATGTAGAGCAGCAATGAGATAATATAAGCATAATTTATCTATTAAATACAATGACTTATGATCTACCTCCCCTCTAGTTCCCTGCCCCCTCTAGGGCTCACATGAACAGACTAGCACCTTCAGCCCCACCTCACAACAACTGGTTTGTAAACAAGTGGAAATCACTTTGAAAGCGAGCTTGTTGGTGACAGCTTGGCTAGAGGAAAGCTAGAGCATCTCTTATTTCCCAAGGGAAGTAAGAATGCAGTGAGGAGCTGCTTCATCAGTAGCGGAAAGAGTAGGTGTGTGTGTATGTGTGTCTGTGTGGAAGGGGGGGGTATTATGGTTGAGGGGTTGCAATTACAACAAAGGTGAGATCACAACGTAAAGTGCAGCCTCTTTCTTCATTACGTCTTCTAAAAACACAAGAAGAAAGCAAGAACAAGAAGCTGGAAGAAACTCGTCTCCACCCCTTAGGTCGGACTAAACATATGTTTTGTCAAAGCATACAGTAGGTACTTCTCTAATCCTACTGAGGAGGTAACTTCAAAGGTAATATCTGAGCCTTTCAGTGCTGGATAGTCATTTAGTAAATGGGTGGCAAGAGCTGTTAATTAAAAAGTAATTAAAGCTGTAACTATACGGAAAGGTCAGATCAGCTTGAAGACGTGCTTCCCTTTAAAGATTTCCATCATTCATATTATTAGACGACACCATTAACACAACAGTAATGTGTAAACATACAGTAGCAGTTACACAGGTATGAATGTTGTTCATTTGGCTTCTTTCTTCATTTGATTTAACATGTCTTTTTTCTTTAATGTAATGTTTGTACAACTGAACTGACATATAAACAAAACTCGGTGCACAGATTTAGATTTATTTTGAATTACTTTAGGTTTCTTTTTTTAACCCAGGCAAGTTTAAAATACATAACCATACATGCTTTACACAGTTCATAAAGCCCTCTGATATTTGCTTACATTTCCTTCAGCACTCTTGGCAGAATAATTAGAAACCGTGCAGTTTTCAACTTTATCCTTCAATTTAAAAAACAACTTTGATGTATGACTAGGTTAAATTACTACACCAGTTTAAACCATTGCATACAAACTGTCCTCCTCAGTGAGAGTTTGGTGGTCTTAGTATCAAAAAAACAACCCAAGAACCACCAGGATTTCAGCCATTTTCAAGGTTCAAAATGCTAAATCCCCAGTGTTCAAAACTGTCCTCATGCTACCAAAAATATATGATTTATGGTTTAAAGAAAATTTACTGCTAGGAAAGTACTATTTTTTCTACAACATTTTTACAAATAAAAATGTACAAATATCTAACCAAAATTACACCAGAATTATATTATTTCTTACAAAATGTGGCCTTTGATTTGGTTTTAGCTGTTATAGTGATTCTTGATTACAAATTAGTTAGAGTGAATGTATATGTTTAAGCCTTTATTTATGATCAGGAAACATGCCACACTTTACCAGATCTTTAAGCCTAGTCTTGAATATAAATAATTATAATGAATATACAGTAGATATTTCTCAATGGCTTCAGATTTTAAAAAATAAACCCAAATAGCACCAGATACAACACAAACTAAAAAAGGGCAAAGGAAAGATGAGACGAAAGGACGGTAAGAGGGACACGGTTTTATGCAAAAAAATATTTATACTTTTTAATAGTATCATTGGAAGATAAAGTCAAATTAAAGTTGAGAATTTGATTTAATTATCTTTTATTTATTTTTTTTATGTGTCCATAAAATAGTAAATCCTAGATCTGCCATTAGGGTATTAAAATATCTGACCAGCACCATATAACACTACATATAGTTCACAAGAAAGTGTCTGAAAAACACTTGTTTTTAGTTGCACCCTTCTCATCATCATCATTCAAAAGTTCAAAACAGTGTTAATTAGCAATAGATTAATAAAGTGTTGCAGGCAGTATGCCAAAACATTAATCATTTTGTGTTCAAAAAAGATTTTACTAGTAAAGAAAAAAGGTAACTTTCTTGAGACCACATTACAAGTAGACAATATATTACTAAGAGCATTATTTACTATGCAACCTGAGACGATCGAACTTTTGGACGCTCATTGTAAATTGATAGGAGCATTGGGATACATCACCAGGCCGGTTGGCTACAGATGCCTGCTTTTCAAAGACCTTAAAACAAGCAGGATTCATAGCCTCAGGGTCTGATTTTATCATGAGATAACATTGACAGCTGATGTCAAAGAGCCACATCCAATTTCTTAATGCTGGATGCTCATCAAAGATGATTGAACTTCTCTTTTCTCAAGTCAAAAGGACTTTTAACAAAAGCCTCTGTCATTTGAAGGCTGAGCTATCAACTCTGATTGCTACTTGGGAGTGTTTGAAGCTCCAAAAGAGCAAAATGCAAAAAAAATTTGATCCTGACTCCCTGGCCAAACCAAATGTAAGAAAAAAAAAGATGCAATGTTCAACTGGGCCTGTCTGAATGCGTTTGAGTATAAACTAGGAGTATGACTAGATACACAGTGTAAAAATCTACTCTGCAAGAGCTAATTATACTTACCACAATGCCGAACTGCTCTGACTCCACGAGCTCCTCATATTCACCTTTTAGTTCCGCTAGAGCACTCAGTTCTTTCTGCTCAGGCAAGTTCTTTATTAGGTTCTAAAATGAAAGAGCGCACACAAAATACAAGAGTTAATGCAGTTCTCATTTTCTGCTTTAGTCTGTAAAAAAAAAACAAAATGCTTGACAGCTTAGCTGAAAACAAAGAGCAAAAACCAAACCAAAGCCAGTGATGTGTTCATTCATTATTTCACCTAATTAAAACGAATTTTACATTAGTCTCCGGTAGAAAATGTATAAAGTTTTTAGAAAGTAAGAACATATGAAGTTGGAAATCATTACATAGAATTTGGGAAAAAATAACCCTGATGTAGTGGACAGAACCTTTAACACACAAAAACTACTTCCAAATCTTTATAAAATGTTTTTGCTGGAACTCAAAACAACCATGACCTCAAATCGAACATAAATGGCGTGTGTGACCCATGTTAGCAATAGGAAAAGTGTGTGTTCTATTCCAGCTTCCTCCTATCACGTTTAAATGCCTTGCCCCTGGGCAAGGCATTTAAACCCAAGTTGTCTGCTAATCTGTATATGCATTATGAATGTTGATTGCTCATTAGTGAGTGTGATTGGATACATTTGGCTATAGAGCTTTGAGCACAGTTACTAAGTCAGCCTTTTATCACCTGAAGAACATTTCAAGAATTAAAGGACATTCAAGCAAAACTCACTCTTTTGCTTGGACTCTTTATCTTCAGTAGAACTGACAACTGCAAGAGTGTAATCATTGGTTTGCATAAACAATCCATCAGATAGCTGAAGCTGATCCAAAATCCTTCTGCCCATATTCTCATCAGAACTAAGAAAGTACAGTAGAGCACACCAGCCTGATTCTGAAGTCCCTCCACTGGCTCCCCTTAATTTCGACATAAATGACAATAAAGCTTGTCTAGGTCTAGTCTAAGTCTAGTTCCAGCCTACTCTGTACACCCAGAACTAGAACTAAACATGGAGAAGCAGCATTTAGTTCCTATGCTACACTTATTTAGAACAAACTTCCAGAAGACTGTAAAAATGCTGAACGCCTTAGTTCTTTTAAGTGAAAGTTAAAAACCCATTTGTTTAGAACTGCATTCAACTGTTGAAGTTAGACAGTTAAATTAGGTATTATTATAAGGTTGTAATCCAACTGTTACATATTTGTTTTTTTGTTTATTTTTACTACCTGCCTTTATCATATATTTATATTTATTTGCTTTTATTCTGCTTTTGTTTTTCTGCTTGTACAATTCATGTAAAGCAGTTTGTACTGAATTGTTCTCTATAAATAAACTTGCCTAGCCTTTACAAGCAAACAGCAGGTACAATAATCCAAATGAATGTAAACTCCTGAACTAAGTCAATGTGCTGTATGTAAATCAGGGGTAACCAACGCAGTGCCTGCAGGCACTAATGGGTCCTTAAGGACCATATGGGGGCCTTCAGCATCTTCTAAAAAACAAAACAACTCAGCAGTGGACAAAGTTTTGAAATTTTTTATTCTGTTGCTCTCCTTTTTTAACCATGTATAGAGCATTTGATCATAATATCCGTATATAGCATTCAAGCATTTATAGAGATTTCAAAATGACAATATCTAATACAAAATCAGAAATTCAAAGAAACAATAAAAATAGATTTATCTTGGATAAAGTTTAGCTGCTGATAGGTCAGCCCATAGGTTAGTATTGTATCCCTTACTATATGTTTGACTTGATATGACTTAGTAGCTATAAAGTAGCTCTCAGCATTAAAAAGGTTGGTTGATGTAAATGAACACATTAAATAAAATATTAACTCTGATTGGCAGATCTGTGTGCAAGTTTTCCTTTATCAATACAGTATGAAAAATAAAGTGTTTCTCCTTTTAAAGAAAAAATATAATTTCTTGCTCATTTTATGTTTTTTATAAGTATAGTTTATCCAGCAGTATCAGTGTATACTGATTAATCCTTTAAACTTTTCTTTTTGAAACAAATCAAAGCAAACCTACCGACATTATCCACATTGGCTACCATGTAAACAAGTTATATTTTCCTGTTGTTATTCCAGTGATCAGAAAGAGTACCCTAAGGTAGGCCAATCGGTTATCTGAAAAGTCAGATTAGGTCACAAAATCAGAGCTGGTAATTGTTGCTTTATGACTCTGAACTGTTCCCAGAGCCAATTACTGAACATGTCGGAGACCTTCAGTTAGCCACCCTTCCACTGCATAATGCACATCACCATGTGATTGTCTATGAAAAGAAGCAACGGTTACGCTATTAATTTGCTGGCATCTGATAAATGTTTTTATACAAGCACAATGAAATTAGCATGCAGTTGTTGGTGGTATTGTTGAAGATTAAGATAGAGATGAGGACGATAATGTGAGGGGATTCTTTTCAGTAAATGTTAATTGTTGGTATGAAGGTCAGCCAATTTAATAAAATTGGCCAAGGCGACTTTTCCCTCTCTTTTCTGCTGAGGTGAAGAAGAGAAAGAGGTGCCCTTTTCTAGGTCTTTGCTGAGCTTCCTTGCTCATTAGCTCCTCAAATTTAGTCAGCGGGAGGAGACTGGCACGGGACCATGTGTCAAGATAGGAACCCAGACAGACGGGAAAATGGAGAGTAAAAGCTGATGCTGGGGCACAGACTTAGCTGACCAAGTTATAGATCTCTATAGCCCTAACAGTCAGCACGACCATAGTCAACTTCCCACTAATGATGGCATCTCTGTTTTCCCCTCCGGGGATTCAGTGATATAAAAAGTAAGCCATACTGCAAGATATGCAACCTTATTTGGGATGCAGCCATTAAATCAAATGTTGCTTGCTTCTTTTCTAAAGCCCCAATTAAAGCTTGCAGGAACGTATGGTGCCTCAATAACAAAAGCTCTACTTTGTATCAACAGAAACAGCAATCATTGCAGCAGATAAAACAAATCTGAATAAAAGCTGTGAATATAAAATAATATAAACAAACTAAACGGTAATGACCTTCAACCTATTATCCAGTTTTAGTCATAATCACTGCTCAAATAGTTGGTTGGGTTTTTTTCTTTGTTTTCTTTTTTAGCTCTGGTATTTATAAGGGTTTTGTTTCATACACCAACTATAACTGGATCAACTTTTGTTAAAAGGGAAGAAAATCATACATGATTTTCAGTTCCTAAATTATATTCAGTGTAAATAGCGCAAGCTTATTGAAACTAGCGGAAGTTTTTTTTTAGTCAAGATTAGTTTTAAGTACTGTTGCATCTGTAGCGTATGTTCCACCTATCTTTTTATTGTTTTTTCAAAGATAAAGGGAAATCAGATCTTCCTCCATATCCAAGGAGGTTGTGGCAGAAAGGAATAGAAGGAATTTCTCACAAAAAATATAGGAAAATGGTTTGCTCAGCTATAATATCTTTAAGGATTGTTGGGGTGTAAATCACCCATCATGGCGATTCGATTCAGTGTCAATTTCCTGACCCAACGATTCTGTCTGTCTCGAATACTGTTTACGCGAGTCTGTGTGTGTGTGCAAGCGGAAAGAGGGTAATGGCTAAAGGAAGCGAGGAGGGCAAAATAGGTTTGGCGCCACCGCAGCATGGAAGTCAGAATTACAACCAGGAGAAAATGGATAAAAATAGACCGTACGGGAAAAAAAAAAAAACATGAATCGATTCTCTTGAGGACGTGTCAATGCATTGGATTGTCGGCTGTTGGGTCAATGCATTGATACAAAACGATTATTATTTACACCCCTAAAAGGTTGCATCTCAATTTTTGCACAATGCATGGAAGCTCTGTCATCCACTACATACTTGTGTGCATATTGTACAACTATACTACTTAACAAAATGACAAAATAAAAGTCTAAGTAACTAACAATCCGCATCTAAAATGTCTATTTCTTTAGCCATGGTATTAAATTTGGACTCTGAGTAACAATGGCTGGTGAAATTAAAAAATTGGTGGAAAAAGATGAAGGATGTACAGTACAAATACACACTCAGGGTAAAATTTGTTGGTATTCCTTGTCCAATAAAAGAAAAACTCACAGCGGTCACATAAATAACTTGAATCTAAAATTAACTGAAAATATCCTATGCAAATGAAAGTCAGATATTGCTTTATAATCAGGCCTCGACAGAATGAATTAAAAAAAACAAAACTGATAAAAGCATCCCAGACAATGGGCTGCTCATTTGTCCTCTTCCTGCTCTACGCCTCTCAGTAGGTGGACTTTCTATTTTTTGATGAGTGATTACACAGAGCTCCTTCAGATGTTTAAAGCTGAGCATATTGTTTTCAAACTCAAATCTGCCGAACATTTTGCTGCAACTTAAACATTGAAATCTCCAATGTCTTCCTTGCTCTTTATGATGCAGCTTATATGTCAATATCTAATTAACAGCCAACAGAGGCCTTAAAACAACACAAACATTTAAACAAAAATCAACTATTTACCAATAGGGTAATTTTTAAGAAGTAATCAGCTGCACCTTATTTCTCTTGATTGATCAAACAAAAGAGATACGCACCTTTGCATACAAACATTATTAGGTTTTTTTATTTGTCAAACAACATAAAAAAAACTTCTCAATCTTGCTCTACTTTGTATTTGTGTATCACATGAAATCAAAGTACACCAATTTTTATGATTGTACAATAATAAAACTAGAAGGATTTTAGCTTATGACTGATGCAGTGTGAAAATAGCACAAACTTTTCATAGTATTTTGTTTGTACACACAGGAATAGAGAGTAATTATGAGCTAAATAGGCTTGAACAGGTTTAAGAATTAGATTTCACTCCAAACAGTGAGATCCATTTAAAATGTAAATAACTATAGAAAAAGTAAAATCACAAGGTTAAAACAGTTTACTGGAAGGGAATGGCAGGGAAATTAACATCTGGATTAGAAACAAAGTCAATATATCTTTAGCTTTCGGTGAAAAACATCGACTCAGAAGCAAATTGTTCATCCTTTTGGAATACTTACCAATTCTTAGACTAATCCAATTACTCTAACATATTATGTTTGGGAAATAAGGGAGATTTGTCTCAAACAAAGAAATTTTCAATCAC